TTTTTACAGTACTATGGCTTCCACAGATGACATTTCTTTATGGATTTATTGTCAAAGCACTTAAGATATTCATTGCTATCTGGATGTTAAGAGCAATATAACAAAAAGTGTATCTCGACCCGGTTTCTCAAACTTACCTACCCCACCTTTAAGCACTGTGTAAAAATCAACCATGTGGTGTTGTCTTAAATTGCAAACTTTTGCCTTGCCCTCGACTGAAGTGACTATTACTGCTGTTATCTAATTAGCTAGCTAATCATTCACTGTCGCAAATCATTACAGATTGCTCAGTCAACCCAATTCATTTAACATTAGCTTCTTTCAACACCAGTGGCTGGTACATTTATTAAAGAGTAAAATAAATACACTGCATACTACCATATTTTGGTATTGTGACACACATATGCGCTCAAAATAGCACATGTAAGTACAGAAGTACACACATTTAGACACAGTAATTAGGATCTAAATATGTGTTAAATCATGTTCAGATGTTTGTGTAGAGAGTATTATTCTCACAGTATTGCTCAAGTTGTCTGTTGCAGCATCATTCATCAATAATTATTTTGGAATTCCTAAAGAGAACATTCGCAGGCATGGAAACAAATAGGTGGCATCTCAGGAATGTTAGAGTTGTTGTCAGGAGGAGTTATTGGTATTTCAGCCTTCCTCAACTGCCATCCTTTCTTCCTGCTCCTTTCCTCCTACTAGAGGGGAGAAAGTGAAACATCCTTCTCTTTGTCTTTATATGTTGCTCTCCTCTCCCCTTCTTATTCCTTGTTACTGTTTTTACATCATTCTTGTCTCGATGAGAGGGTCATTACTCAAAATGTACCACCCATAGCCAGTATACCCCAACCCACTCAAAGCCCCCCACACCTTTAACACTGTCACTTCTCTTAGTGTTGGAATGTGATCGAGGGCCTCTCAGTCTCATCTACCATCAGTGGAGAGGGTGGAAAAGAAGCAGAGCAATAATGTCTTTAACTCTTTCACGTAGCAATAACAGTAGTGATAAATATTTCACTTTGTATAATTCTCTCAATATAAATAGGGGTTGAAGTTACATCACAAATATCCTAGTGTTATGATATTAGGGTCATGCAGAGTGAGATGAGATCGCTGACCCCTTAAGAGAGAGAGAGGGGTGTGGCACTTGCATGTGTGTGTGTGCGTGCGCATGTGTGTGTGTGTGTGTGTGTGTGTGTGTGTGTGTGTGTGTGTGTGTGTGTGTGTGTGTGTGTGTGTGTGTGTGTGTGTGTGGCTGGTAGAGCGAGAGTGAGCGAGCGTGTGTATGTTTCTGGAAGTGAAACGAGGCAGCAGAAAAACAGAGGTCTGTGATGTATTTTGTGAAACAGAAGAACAACTAAATAAATGCAACGGTCTCCCAAGAAGAGCTCGCCTCTCTCCTGTCATTTAAGCTAAAGTGGGTTATTGAACCTGAAGTTTGTTGCTTCTGCCCTGGTAGACGACAGAGAGTCATCCCCCCTGTTTCCTCAACTACGGTCTGGTAGCCGACAGGAAAGTTCAACACTAGCAACCGCAGATGTCGAGCAGAACATTTTCTGTCAATATATATGAACGGGGGTCCAACAAAAGAGATGCTTTTACATGAAAAAACAGCCCCATGTCAGTAAATGTGCTTCATAACAGAAGGTGAGGGAAGAAGTTAGTCGTATTGAAGCTGTAAAGGAGACGGAGTCTCCAGGAAATTGGCTTAGAGATGGCACTGTGTGGATGAGTGTGTCCCAGTAAAAGAACACGGAGAACAGACGTTCCCAGTTTAGTGGTTTTTTCCTTTATTTATCCAGGTGTATCCCATTGAGATCATTGATCTCTTTTTCAAGGGAGACCTGCTCAAGTAGGTTCCACATGAAACATAGAAAATTTAATCGAGTCCCGGCCCTAATAAAAACATAAATAGAACAACAAAAGGACATCATACAGCATCATTTACATAATTATCCACATGAACAGGTACCAACAGCTTCCGATTGAGTAGCATCCAACCGAACTTTAAAAACATTTAGTGGCACCAGATTGCTCAGCTTCCATTTCAATTGCAGACTATTCCAAGACAGTGGAGCTGCGCATCTAAATGCCATCTTCCCTAAGACAGTCCTAGCAGTTGGCACATTTAATAAAACAACAGCATTCGATCTCAGGCAGTAGCCACTTACAATTTTCCGTGAGATCAGGGAGCATATAAGATGGAAGTTTCCCTAACATGGCTTTGTATATAAAAATGTAGCAGTGACTGAGCCTCTGGACAGTTAGTGAAAGCAAACCATCCCTTCCATACAGGGTACAGTGATGTGTTAATGCTTTAGAGTTTGTCACAAATCTTAGTGCACTGTGATACGCAGCATCTGACTTGACCAGGCAATTGGCAGGTGCATTCATATACATCAAATCACCATAGTCCAGCACAGGTAAAAAGGTCACAGTGACTAGCCTTTTCCTGGCCTCAAGCGAGAAACAGGACTTGTTCCTGTAGAAGAAACCTAGCCTAACCCTCAGCTTTTTAAGCAGGTTATTGACATGACGTTTAAAAGTGAGACAATCATCAAGCCAGATACCAAGGTATTTGTAACAGGTAACCACTTTAAGTTTAATTACATTGCAAATACTGATTTGAGCCCCACCACTGTATGGGTTAGCCCTACCATCTATTACCCAACAAAAATACTCTGGCGCCGCCACTGGAAAGCAGCCTAAATTATAAAAATGCACATTTAAAAGTTTCTACACAGTTGAAAACTTAAATATGAGCGAATAGTCAACATATTAAAAGATAAAGATTTTGGAGTATATACCAGATGATGCACCCTCTAATCGGCCTTAAGACAATAAGTAATAATTGAAGGGAACATTTTATTAGTTTGAGTCATAAGTCATTTTAAGACCAGTACATTTTGCATACAGTATAAGATTCCACATATCTCCCATACTGTTCAAAAACTCCTACCCTAAAGCATTCTGTATTAAAAAATAAAATAAAGAAGGTTGACATGTTGAAGAATCAGCCCAACTTTTGGATTAGACCTGCACCTGTGTACCTGTTTTAGAGGGACAATCCTAAAAACATTCAGCAGCCTATCTATGATATAATGTCATGTAACACCCATCCCACTGGCAGCAGCACACAGGCACAGAGCAGCAGCAGTGGTGGCGGCCACATCGATAATCAATAAAGGTTAATGACGCAAAAAGACTGACCATTACAGTTTGTTACCATGTTCCAAACACTGCCCCTGTGTTGTGTTTGTCAAACAGAACAGTTGTTACTTTTAGATTTCAAAAGATTACAGAGGTTTGCTCTGGTGTGAATTGTAAGCCCATCCCAATCCTCTCTTTTTTTTTGTTATTTTTCAATATGTCCTGCAGTGGAATGCTAAATCTCAGAAGATTTGCCAACAGTTAAGCTTTCAAGGGACAGCCTGTTGGGTGAGCAATTTACAGCTCGTCTGCTGAGAGATTAGGAGGAGGAGCACAGCTGGGCCTCTGCGTGGTGGAAGGAACACAGGATTGTGCATAGGGTATTCAACAAGATTTCCCCTCATAACTCTGACAAACAAATAGATGAAACAAACATATCTCTTTGTGCAATTTGTTTTGCAATTCACCCAATTGCATCCAGTTAGACCCAATAAGCACCACTAGTTGTTTATGCCAAATAACTGACTCATAATATTCACATAAAAGCCAGGTGTTGATAGAAACTGTAATTCATTCATTTTGCCAGATTTGGGAAATGATGTTATTATATTTGGATGGAAACCTATTGATGACAAAGTAAGATGGATGGATAGCACTTTATTTATCCCAAATTGGGAAATTACTTTGATGCAGCAGCAGTTTACAGTATGTACATATCTAAAGCATAAAGGGCATAAACCACTAGAATGCTCAATATAAAATGTTCTAGATAATTTAAACTGCTCCACAATATATTAGAGTATAGCAGAACACATAAATACACATGGTCCTGTAGTATATCAATTACAGTTGTGTAAGTAGCAGTTGTTCATGGTTGTTCATGGTACTGGACTGGGAGGAACCAAACTATGTAGCAGATAGTTCTCTGCCAGCCAGAGGAATACAGAGTTATGGCTGTTGGCAGGAGTTACTTCCTGTATCTGTCCCTGTGACAGCGGAGCTGGAGCAGTCTGTTGAAGAAGGAGCTCCGCTGTCTTTCCAGCTGCAGGTGGAGAGGATGGGTGGAGTTATCCATCATGGACAAGTAACTTTTAATTGAGCATGTGGCATCAGGCATCTGAATTATTAGAAAAAAAATTAGAAATATCAAGTCTTACTTGAATGAGTACACTACGCTGAGTACGGTAGTGCAAACCTCTGCATGTGGTTCAAAATATTTAGGATATACTTTTTGTATATACTGCTTGTATAAATAATGATACCACCTTCAGTTGTATTCATGTTTCCTTAGCCATGATCAAGCAATGTATTCATTCTGTTTTTAAAACAGCTTGAAGCCCTACTTCTTTTAAATGTAAGATTCCCTTATATCCTCTTTGACTTTATCTCAGAAAGCACACATTCTTGTTCCCCATCCATTTGTAATAATTGATGCAGGTGTAATTCCAAAATGTAGCTATTTGGGACTTGCCACTAACCCTATTCATTGTAAACATGAAAGTCAAATGTCCTAAACCAAAATAAACCATAATGTGAATTGTGTAATGTTAGATCCAAAAAAGGCTGATTAAAAACATTCCAGGGAAATATTTATTAAGACCTCAAAGCTCAAATATCAGTTGCAATATACAACTGATGACTGGGAGCAGAGGGGGAGGTTATTCCTCCTTCTGTGTGTTTGCTAGATTGCTTGCATGGATTAAAGTGTTTTTATTGTCTGGGTTAAGCAAGTTAGTGAATTTAATTTCCTCTTTCTCTCCATGTGTTGTCTCCCATCTCTTACTTCTGTACTATCTTGTCTCGTTGCGCTCTTTGTTGTCCCTCATCTTTATACTTCTTACTTGTTCTATCTCCATACATCAATCCCTCTGTCTCTTTTCCCAGGCACCTACAGCCAATCAGCAGCCATTCAACTAAGGGGAGTCCCGAGTGGGGAAGACCGCCATGCAGAGGGGCTACTCCTCAACCAGCTTAGCGCTACCACCCCAACAAATCACCCACGGACTCACGGGAAACTCATGGAACTGGAGCACCAACGAGGGCAACCCAATTCTGACCCTGTGACGAACCCAAGCAAGAAAGGGGTTGAGGGTCCGGAGGGTGCTGATGTAATCAGGGTTTGGCCGGGTATCAGCAAGGTAGCAGGACAGGGCGGTGGGAGTGGGGTCCAAAGCTACTACAGGCCAACTCGTAGGGGTTCCCCAAGACCGAGCACCCACGATCACTTTGACATCAATGAGCACCTCCCCTGGATGATAGTGCTGCTGCTCCTGCTGGTGCTGGTGGTGATCGTGATCTGCAGTGTGAAGCGGAGCTCTCGTGTGCTGAAGAAGGGGCCGGTGCAGGACCCCAGCAGCATCATCGAGAAGGCAATCCAGAAGAAACCATCGGCGCCTCAATCGCAGGTCAAAGAGAAGTGGATCTACTACTCCAACGGACAGGGTAAGCCTTTGATTCCAACAAGAGTGGTTCTGATGGAAAATTGTTGGAGGCTACTTTGGAATATAAATAGGAGACAAGTTAAGAAAAATACAAAATGAAGTGTCTTGGACCTCCACTAGCATCCAGAACAGCTTCAGTGCTTCTTTACAAAGATTCTCGAAGTCTTTATACTTCTGTCTGTTCCTTCAGATTCACCCATGAGAACGTTTTATTTCCTAATAGAGTGGCGTGTTAAACCATGCTCATCCACTGTAGATGATTCTACGCTTTCCCATTCACTCATACAGTATAAGTATTCTTAGGAGACAGTGGGTAAGATAAAGATAATCAAAAACTTAATTTTATAGATGCTTTAACGACTTTTTTGATATGATAGTTTCTTAAATTTGTAGTGATAAAAGCTACATTTTACATGTCTGAATGACAACCATCGTTATCACATCTCTACAAACATCCTGACAATCAGAATCAGAAATCATTTTTCCGTCTCATGCGGAGGAAATCTAACAGACAGTGTGGTGAAAGACCAAAAATAAAATATGTAAACTCACATAATGAAAGAAGACTGCCAAGGCACACGACATGGCCATGCCTTCGATATACATTTTAGTTTCTTACATTATTTTCTAAATTACATTACATGTTACTTGTACTGACGCTTTTATCCAAAGCGATTTACATACTCAATACTGTGGGCAATCCCCACAGGAGCAATTTGGGGTGAAGAGTCTTGCCCAGGGACACAACGACATGCTGACTGCAGTGGGGTTTGAACCTGTGACCCCCTGATCCGAACACCAACGCACTACCCACTGCGCCACACACCTCCATAAATTACTTATAAACTCCAGTAAAGATTCCAAGTTTGTGACAACAGCAATTTGTGTGTGACGTCATATACTGCAATACGCCCTCAGAGAAAATGTCTTATCAAAGCTCTGCCATGGTGTTTTTGTAATCTAACGACATGTGTTTCTACATGATATGCAGCCAGCATTGGGGGGTCATGAACTTGCGTACTGGATGTCCCAGTCTGGTTTGATGGCATAAAGTCAGCTCCTGAACCGTGTAGAACCATGTGATGATTTGATCTAATCAATTCTGCCCTGCAGCACATGGTGTGGAGGGCAGTGGTTATACAAGCAAGACCCTGACCCTGTTGTACCCTCCTGCTGTCACTGTCCACCCCCAACACACACTCAGGTTGCACTCTCCTATTGGTGTCTCCTTCCCGTCTCATCCATCTTGTTTTTCCTTTTTGTTCTCAGGTGCATAACTTTGGATTTCGTCACTTCTATCCATCTTTCTTTGGCTGATTTTCTGTCCGTTTTTTCATTCTTTCTCTAACTTTCCTATCTCCTGTGAATACATCATCCTTTATTTGCCTTTATTTGGCTTTATAGTATCTCCAGCTTCCTCTTCCCCCTTTCCCACATGGTTCCCATGCTTGCATGAAATCCTTTAAAACACCACATTAAAATGGAAGTGTTTTTGAAATGTGCTTGGATTTTGAATAAAGTGTGCTTAAAAACTGGAGACATATTTAAAAACATGATACATTTTGTTGTGTTTCTTTAATTTCCCACCCATACAGTATATAAAATGTTGTCAGAAACCATAATTTGGGTCCTTTATAGCCCATTCATATCTAATATTACAAGTTCTATATTGAGTACTTGTATATACTATATACAAATATGTAATTTGCTGGAAAAGCTTGAAAATCCTCCTTGAAATGCTTGGAAAGTATTTTAATTTGACTTTTGAAAAGGTGGGGGCACCTTGTTTCTAGTGCTCTCCTCATTTAATTTCCTTAGTCTTGTTTAAATGTGAGATTTCACTGTGTGTGTGTGTGTGTGTGTGTGTGTGTGCGTGTGTGTGTGTGTGTGTGTGTGCTGTGATAAAACCGAGCCACCCGCCACACTCTCTCTGCTCCCTCAGTGGCTTACCACAGAGAACTGGAGTAATCTGGTTTCAGCTGCACCAGCGTTGTTTTTTGGTTGGCAAGGAACATTAGTGGGTCAATCTGGTCTCTTACAGGGCGACAAAGAGTTATATAGGCAGAAGGAAATGGGGAGAGTGATGGTGCAGCAGTGGTGTGTGTGTGTGTGTGTGTGTGTGTGTGTGTGTGTGTGTGTGTGTGTGTGTGTGTGTGTGTGTGTGTGTGTGTGTGTGTGTGTGTCTGTGTGTCTGTAAATGTAAATGTTGTATCTGACCGTTGTTGGCTAACCACCCTGGGGTTTCCCTGCCGTTACCTAGCAGCCCTTGTCAGAACAGATAATGTAGATCATGGGTCTTTAACATAAGGTCCTTGCCTTTTTAGGTGTCTTCAGAGTTACTGCAGAGGGGCCAGCAAAGTATTGCTTTTTTTGTTAAATATGTTTTAAAATACAATCAATCCAACATATTAGCAATGATAAATCAACTTTTTGTAAAACCAACTCATTTATTTTCCACAGTGATGACAGTCTTATGTTACCCATGAATCCCTGTACAACCAAGTGAGCTAGCTAACCTATGCTAAATCGCCATAACGGCTAACTAATTAGCTATGACATAGTTTTATTATTTAAATAGCTTATTATTGAACGCAATAAGGTATTAATAAATGGAACTAGCCCCCCCTCTATTTAAAAATAGACAAGTAACTTTCAAGGAATTTATTTGGCATCATAAAAGATAAATCAGAATCAGAACTGGTTTGTTGCTTGGTAAGTTTACACATACAATGATTTTACTTTGGTTTATAATGAAAGAATAAACAGTCAGAGAAATTAAAATTGAAAGCTAGAGGATGGTGAATGTAACGAAAGATTTCAGTATTTTGAGGCTCTGAGCCCCATTTCTTTTCCTCACAGACGGCAAAAAAAGTCCGACTTTATACGATTTAAAATAAAAACAAATAAATAAAAAGATAAAACAATTGCATGTAATTTACGTTAGAATAAATAGAATGGTTTTGAAAAATATATGAGAGTAAAATCTACGTCACTTTACAGCCCCGCCCACTTTTGGGGAAACCAACGCTGTAATTTCAACGGCGATCAAGCCTGAAGCCACAGAGATCTTCTGTTTCTGTCCTTTCTTCTTAGAGGAAGTACAGAAACACGTAACTCTGGATTTGTTTTAATGTTTGAGGTGCAATAAACGACACAGCAGCTTTTTGGCATGTTAAAACTATTATTTTCTGCCTCGCTCATGAGAGTAACAGCTGGCAAAATTACAGCCTCGCCTACTGATTTTAAATTAACCATATATCGAGGCCGATTGTCGATTTCAAATGTGTGCTCTAAAATTATATTTATAAATGACTATCATTATTATAAGCAAGACAATAAATGGCAAAGATATGTAGAAAATAAACGTATTTAAGATACGTTCATAACTAACGTAGTAACGTGGGAGAAAATAGCTAAGGCACTCCACTTGTTAACTGTATTAATGGCACCTGTTTGAACTCGTTATCAGTATAAAAGACACCTGTCCACAACCTCAAACAGTCACACTCCAAACTCCACTATGGCCAAGACCAAAGGCGTGGTTAAAGTTGCGCATGCTCTATGACCGCACATACGGGTACTTCTCAGGCATGCCGGGTAATATGTGACGTTTCGCTCTCTCAAAAAGTTGGGCCATTTTGTCATCATGCGCCATTGAGCAACTCTCATAGGAATTAATGAGGCCCCGCT